AGTACTGAATATGGGGGAATTCTATACTACTGGTCAACTTAAATGGGAAAAGACTGGTTGGACTTCGTGGTAATTTTGCAATATCTAAAAATTATTGACTTCTTAAAAACCGCAAAAAATCGAGCGACTGGAAAGAGTTGTGACAATCTTTAAGTGAATTGGGTTGAACCCGAATCATATTACATCCCAATTCTCTAATTGTTGTGCTACTTCGTTAGTTGACCTGTCTATAGCAACGAAATGCTCTACACGGCAAGACACATGCGCATGATGAGTAACTAAAGGCCGCATGTAAAAATCAAATAGAGATGGAAAACAATCGTATAAGAGCAAATCGCGGCACAACAACTTAATATCAAAGACAAATTGGACTAAAACTCCAGAAAAAATATAAATGGAAGAACTTATGTTACTTATTTTACCTTTTGACGGCCAGGGAACTTCATCTTTGCTCGACGGAGAGCCTCGATGAACTGGTTTTTGTGGCAATCCTTACCCCGAACGGACATTATCACTTGGCCGATATCCACACGGGCGACCGTCCCTTGAGGCTTGCCATACGCTCCACGCATACCGGTCTGCAGCCTTCGGAAAATAATACTAAGTTTAGTCCTTACCTGTCGGCACCAGCACAGGACAACATTTTATTGATCCGAATGACATGGAAAGGATGGACACGCATGCGTAGATGGAAAGCATCCTTGCCGCAGTATTTAACAAGATACTTGTTGGCGCAGATACGAGCAGCCTCGAGTGCTTCACTCGACAGTTGTTCGTATTCGTCCGACAGCATGTGGACGCAGAGTGGGAACTCATCTACGCTAACCTTCTTCTTGCCCAGATCATAGATTCGGATTTTTGGATCCGGAACACCCCGACAGAAACGGGACTTGGGGTACGGCTTATTCTTACAATAGCGGTAACTGAGGGAAAATTAGATATGAAAGAATTAGACATACCAGCGAGCTGGACGACGACCCATCGGCACGCTGAAATCAAATAAAAAGTGCGTGCGTTAAAACAAATGCGCGTTCGCTTATTGGAGTTGAT